GTAATCACGCTTAATAAGATAATTAATAATCTTGTTTAGGTTAATTTGATTATAATTCAAGTGATCGCCAATAATAGATTTATTTGTGCATTAATATTCAACCAACATAGATAAACAAGTTTAGGGTGAACCTATTGATTGTATGTTAGTCAGAAAATACGAGAAGAATAAAGTAGAGGCCTATTATTAGGGAAGGTTCTTTCTCTTTTAGATTGGATTTGTACCTTCATCCCCGAACTTCTTGTCTTGGTTCCAAACCTATTGGTGTTAATGATCTCCTAGATCGTTAAGGGGTGTAGCCTTCACCTTGTGAACGGTTTACAAGTTCCTAAAACTTGTTGGCGACTCTTTTGCTCTTGGTTTTTTTCCCTTTGGACGCCACCATGCTTAAATGTATGATCACAGTGGGGTTCAAGTTTGGGGTAATGCTTGAAATATTCCTTAAAGACATGAATAAAGCTTATGATGAGTACGCTGGGACTTTTTTATTTAGATTTCACGAGCTTTTGGGTTTCCCCTTTATTAGGTTCATATTATTGAGTAGTGTGTTACAACTGTCTCGTATCAGGTTTTGGTGAATGGGAGTTTAATGCCTTCTTTTCGACCATAGTGTGGTCTTAAACAAAGAGATCCTCTGTCGCCGTATCTTTTTATGCTTTATATGAAGGTGTTATTAGCCTGCTCTTCTGGCTTCTCTTCGCCGGGCAAAAGAGCAGGTTATGTTTTCTGAAATTCGTGTTTCTAGGGGTGGACCTTTGATTTCTCATCTTTACTTTGTGGATGATACGCTATTATTTTTCCAAGTATCGCCGCAAGCGCATGAAAATGTCTTGGCCATTCTTTCTGCCTTTTGTCCCTCTTCGGGCTAGATGATTAATCTTCAAAAGTCCTTTGTCAAGTTCACCCCGAATACTCCCCTGACTACGACATTTCTTTGGCTCACAAACTTCGCCTACAGTAGAAGGCTTCGTTTCATACCTATTTGGGTCTGCCTCTCGACCTAGGAAGGAGTAAAGTTTTGGAGTTCAGGTTTCTGGTTGATAGAGTTGCTAGCCGATTGTTTGCTTGTGCTTCTCTTCGGTTGTCTACAACGGAAAAATTGGTTATCATAAATTCGATGTTGGTAGCTTCTTTTAATCATATTATCTTTGTTAAGATCCCTTCTACAATTGTTGCTCAGCTTGACAGTATGCTTACCAGTTTTTGGTGGAGATCTCCGGTTTACGGGAAGGGTTTGGCGCTGCGCTCGACTTCTCTACTTCATTTACCCAAAGGTTTGGGGGGGGGGGGGGTTTGGCTTTACGCAACATTGCATGTTTAACTCTGATGTCCTTGCTGGTACAAGGTAGAGGATGATTCACAATCCTCAGTTTTTGGTTTCTAAGCTCATGTTTTCCAAGTACCCTTCTCTTGCTGCCCTTCCGTACGCTCGGATAACTCGACCCTTTAGGGTTTGTCGTGGGTTACAGATGGCTCTTTATGTGGTAGCTCCAGCTCTACATTGGAAGGTAGGTAGTGGTAACAGTGTTCGTATTACAGCTAACGACTGGGCTCCTTGCGGTCTAATTTTTTTCAAGGCTGGTTTATCTCAGTCGGATCTTCCAACTCCTGTGGTCACATATTATTGATCTACGGTCTAACACGTGGGACTCTTCGAGAGTCCATCATTTTTTTATGGTCCTACTGCCTCTCGGATCCTTAGTCTGGACCGTCCGCTGGAACTTATGGATGATTTTGTGTATTGGAAATTCACTAAGGATGGCACCTTCTCTACGAAATCTGCCTATGCCCTCTTACTTTAGCAGCCTAGTGGACATACATCTGTGGGGTTCATTCCTGCTTCCTGGTAAGGGAAGTTTTGGGCGCTCCCCCTTCTTCCTAAATGGAGGATATTTAGCTGGAAAATTATTCAGTTTGGACTCCCGGTTGTGTAGACACCTAAAATTGTCTCCCCAAAACCAAACCCGGCCCGATGATGAACAACCTTTCACTGACATTGTTGGTCAGGTTCCATATTTAATTTTTGAAGCCTTAAATCCATATTCCATTAAATAAATTTCATAAACCAACCCAATTCTTAACCCATTTCCCAAACCATAACGTATTTTCCTCTTTTCGTATATACATCACAAAACCATGCTAAAATGATTTCATGGCCCTATAATTTTAATCCAAATATTATTTGGTTTGATAGGCCTTTAAAAAACTCTTTTCCACAGTATATTATAAACCTAATTCCGATTTGTAACGAAGAAGATATGAGCAAAATACTAAACTCGGTCCAACACCGACACCCTTTCACTAAAACGACCAAATCTTAAAATATAAAAAATATTTTGATCTGATTTTAATTGGGTTTAATAGTATACTTGATAATATTTCCAACGATATATATATTATATGCCTTATTCCGAGTTAAGGATCAAAAGTTATCTAAGTTTTCAAAACGCATAAAAAATTAGAATTACCATACAACAGCTAAAACGCCATGTCACTGTGTATGCCAACCAGGCACAGTGCATTGTACCGTGTCACGGTGCTTTCACGTGTATTTTCCGCGTTTTTTCTCACGCTAAATGAATTTGTACGCATTTTTAGACAAATTGTACATCGCAAAACGGTATATTGTACCGTGCCACGGTGGATAGTACCGTGTCACGGTGCCCAGTACCGTGTCACGGTGCCTAATTAGGGTTTTTTGTGGCTCTTATCTCTTCTAGGGTTTTGTGCACTCCCCAGTTCATTCCTCTATAAATACCCCCCTCATTTCTGCAGTTGGGGGGCACCAAAAATCATTATCTTTCTCCCTACACAAAAAAATTTTCTTCTCCCTTTTTAACCTAAATACTAGCCTCCTTATTCTCTCATAATACTTCCCCTAAGAACTCCAAGGAGTCCATACTTGACCTGAGGTTCTGTCCTTAAACCAAGACGTGAAAGGTTTAATTAACTGAGGGTTTAGACCAAATCAACTCTACTTTTTATTAAATTTAATTTCAATTTGATTTATATTTTTATTGAAGTTACTAACAGTTTATTAATGATGTAGCAATTCAAGAAAACGCGGAAAGTGAGTATTTACTCACTTAATTACTCTTATTTTTATTCTTGTTGCTAGTATCATGATTAGGTTTATTTATATTTTAGTTGACTAACAATTTATTGTTGAATTGCTTCCAATATTAATGTTGATTTTATTCTATTATATTTTTATGATCACCATATTGCATATTAAATGGAATATGTAATCGAAAATCACGCCTAATAAGATAATTTGGACGACTGGTTTAGGTTCCTTTTTAATCTTGTCGTTAATTGAAGTGATCAAAATATTTTAGAATTATATGTTGCACTAAAATATATTCAACCAATTTAGCATAATAATTGTTTGGAGCGAATTGAATCTTTGTTTTTATGCCTTTGAGATCGCAAGAATCTTTTTTCACTATTAGAATCGAGTGGAGGCCAATATTGGCGAATGTGACTCCATGACTCACTTCATACCATCATCCCCGATCCTCTTTTTGTGGTTCCAATCCATATGGAGTTAATAATCTCATGGATTATGTATGGGGTGTAACCTTCATGGGTCAATTGTTGTTGCCTTTCGTTGTCCGTTATTTGTAATTGCCTTAAATGATCCGTGAACGGTTTACAAGTTCCTTAAAAACTTGTTTGCGGCTCCCTACTTTCCATGTCCCTAATCGTATTATGTCAATTCCCACTTCCAATGAGTGCCAAGTATATTCATCACATGCTTACGTAGGCGCGCTTCAAATGACGCCTACATGTTGCTTCTGTTCTAGCTGTTTGCGGATTTTCTATTGATTCCGTTTGTTGTTTTTTTCAGAGGGAGCAAGAGACAGTGGACCATTTTTTTTTTAGATTGTGACTTTGTTATGTTGCTCCTTTGTGGGCCCTCAGTTTTTTACGTTCTAATAGGCAAGGTCTGCTTCACCTTCCTTTTATCCAATGTTTTTCCACTATTGTCTCTCTATTAGGGGCTGCTAAGGACTGGGCGAGCCTGGTGCGGTTTTTCTTCCTTTTATGGGCTATTTAGCTATCTCATAATAATGTTCGGTTTATTTTCTCGTTCTCTCTTGTACTTTGGGTCTTAGTCCTAAATCGGCTAGTTCGGGTGTCGTTGCCACTTGATATTTGTATGATTTGTGATGGGTCTTGGTCTTCTTCAGATAACTCGGCCAGTGCAGGTTGGATTTTTTCGTAATTGTGATTCTCCTTCAGTCTGTGGGGGCGGAGCTCGTGCTTTTCTATCATCTTTAGCTTTACATTTTGAGTTACAGGTTTGTTTTTAGGGATTGCGCAATGCCTATTCTAGAGGTTTTCGACATATCCTTATTTACTCGGACTGTGAGTCTATGTGTCTGATTTTGGACTAAAAACAACGGGACGAGATCTCTTTATGCTGATTACTTCAGGATATCCAGCCTCTTCTGTCTACTATTGATGCTTGCAAAATTCTAAAGGTTCCATGGAAATGGGTGTCCCCTGCGTATTGGTTGGCTGGAAAGGCTTGTACTCGGGAGTGTATTTTTTGGTCTTTTTAGTTGTTTATTTTTCCTTTCTTTCTTTGTTCTTACTGTAAAAAAAAAAAAAAAAAAAAAAAAAAAAAAAAAAACCAAAAAACAAAACTTGGGCAAAGTTCGGCCTAGTTAAGTTCATTTTTGTTTGTTTTTTAAATAATTATGCCAGACTTGGAAAGTTATGAAAGTGGTTAATATGTTAACTTGAATGTGAGAAAAGGTGTACTCGTTTATAAGTAGTATAAGTTCATAAACCATTAGTTTAATTAGCCAGTTAAATTCATGACCTAATCGTTTAATTAGTTATGTCATTAATCTAGCATTACGATTTTTTCCTTTTGATTGTCGTCGCAAGCTAAAGTAACGTGGGATTTTCATTTTTGATGTTTTTTTTTCTTTAACTGTATTTTTTATTTTATAATGATTTTTTTTTTGACAAAGGGAACATCAAACTATTTAAAAAACGTAACAAAGTAACTCTTTACGATTAGCAGCACTAGCTAACCGATGAGCAACTGCAACTGAAGACCGTGAAACCTTCTGAATGTGACAAAGGGAAAAAGAGGAGATAACATTACGAATGTTGCCCAAAATCCACATTATCGAAATATTCGTTGACCCATGATCCACGAGAAGATGTGGAACGGACATACAGTCTGTACAGAGCAGAAGCTGGGAAACACCACGGTGGAGAGCATGCCGCAAACCCCAAAGACAGGTAAGTAACTCAGATTGGAGTGCTGAACTAGCAGTGCAGGCCCTAGCTCCTCTAGCAATATAAATAGGAGAACTTGGATCTCGAAAACACCAACCCATCCCAGCAGTGTGAGAATCCCTGTCCCACGCACCATCAATGAACAAAGCACATCATAATCCTGCTAGGAACCCTTAACAACATAGACCAAGGGACGAGAAGGAAATCCCGGAGGAGCGTTTAAGATACCAGGATCCCACTCCCTAGCTTCCCTACTCCTAGCTCTCCAATTTGACGCTAAATTAAGAATAGACTAGGGAATAAACCTCGAATCTAAACCTAACATTATTACTTGTCAACCAAATCGCCCAACATAAACCAAAGAAGCCAACCAAAGACACAAGATCCTCGAACCAAAGATGAAACGGAGTAGACGGAGAAGCACTGAGTAACTGATCACGGTTAAAGTTATCCCGTAGCTTTTTAGTAAACTGGCAATCTCGAAACAAATGCTCAACTAACTCAGAATTTCGATGACAAAAGATACAGGTAGGATCAATAGGAATACCTTTAAGGCAAAGTAAAGCAGCAGTTGGAAGATCATTATGGAAAACCTTCTATAGGGAATATTTCAAGCATTATCCCTAGCTTGAACCCCACTGTGATCATACACTAAAGTACGGTGGCGTCCAAAGGGAAGGAAGCTAGAGCAAAAGAGTTGCCAACAAGTTTTAGGAACTTGTAAACCGTTCATAGGGTGAAGGTTACACCCCTTAACGATCCAAGAGATCGTTAACTCCAATAGGTCTTGAACCACGACTGGTAGTTTGAGGATGAATGTACAAATCCAACCTAAAAGAGATTGAACCTGCCCTAATAATAGGCCTCTACTTTATTCTGATCGTATTCATGTGCGCTTTCTGACTAACATGCAATCAATAGGATTAACCCTAAACATGTTTAATCTATGTGTGTTGAATATTAATGCACAAACAAACTATTATTGGCGATCACTTGAATTATAATCAAATTAACCCTAAACAAGATTATTAATTATCTTATTAAGCGTGATTACAAGTACCAATTCCCTTTAAACATGCATAAAAGGTGTGATGAATCAATAACAATAAATATAACGTATATCAAGCAACATAATTATCATCATAACAATTATAATAATCATAATAATCATAATAATAATAATTAAAATAATCATAATCAAAATAATTATAAATCATAGAAGTAATCATGTTCATGTTAAAGCATAATAATAATAATAAGATCCTAGGCATGATACTAACAAGATTAATAACAAAACCTAGTATGTTACTAAACAATAAAAATCAAAGCTTTAGCCCTAACATGAATATTAGGAAGAATATAGGAAGCATCGCAATTGTCATATTTGATATTAGAAATTATGGTTGTTATCCTAAACATGATACTAGGAAGATCAAAACACCCTAACATGACACTAGGAATCATAATAATAACCTAAACATGACTTCTATATCAAAATATCAATAAATCAATTAAAGCAATTACTTGGATGTCTCGTATCTCTTTCTAATAACAAAATACACGCGTTAGTAACTTCAAGGAAAATAATAAACAAACAATTAAATTAAATAATAATTGAAAGAGAGATTTGGGACCAAACTCTCATAAATTAAAACCTTTCACGTCTAGGGCGAAGGCAACTTCGAACTATGCTAGGTGTTTCTTAGTCTTGTGAATGCGGAATTTTGTTTGTAAAATGGGTTGGTTTAGAAAAAGAGGGAGAGAACAAGCTTTAGCTTAGATAGAGAAGAGAATTAGAGAGTTGTTGATAGTTGAGAATATTTATAGAGAAAATCAGCCAAACGGATAGAAAAACAAATCAGAGTTTCGACGAGGATAAAAGAAGTTAGCGCCAGGCGCTGAACATTAGCGCCAGGCGCTAAATTTTATCTTCACGCGTTTTCTTAATTCAGATAAAATTTAGCCGTATAGAAGGGCAAAAACGTATTTTCCTTTTAATCACTCTTTCATTCTGATTAAAACTCTAAAAAGTCAACCAAAGTCAATTTATCAATCCTTATTGCATTAGGAATGATAAATCCATATTAGGCCCTCCTCTAGATCATTGGGCCGCATATAAGTATCAAACCGAGCCAGTTTAGTAATTTGGCCATAACTTCCTCATTATTCATCGAAATTGGGCTTATAATATATCGTTGGAAAGATCTTTTCAAACCCCATCCAACTACACCATTATTGGACCCTTGCTATGGACCAACCAAACTGGATTTTCTGTTTTCTTAAAATAGGTTTTCAAAAACAGAGAGAAGGGAAAAGAAATTAAAACTATCCGCAACACTAGACTTTCCACACTTTCACTTCATTCGATGATGATTCGATGTGAAAGGTACTCATCACCGGGTTTGGTTTTGGGGAGACACAAATGGGTGTCTACACCTTCCAAGTAAACAATTTCCATTTCGGGAGAATAGGCAAACCCCACATACGCTTCCACCACACACTAGGGAACAAATCCCTTAAGCCGACAGATGGTGAGAAAGTAGGCAAGAGTAAGCTAATTTAGTGGTAAACGAACTATCACGAGTGTGCTTCCAGTAAATAAAATCATCAATCTCTTGCTTAGGGCGTTCTAAAGCTCGTATGGCCGAAGCAACTGACTAAGGAAAAAGACGGCAATTCAAGGAAGAATTACAAGAAGAAGACCCTGGAAACAGTAACTCAGAAACAAAGGTGGGTCTATCATCCTCAAGAATCGAAGGTCTAAAGACAACTTCAGCATCAGGCACCCAACAGTCATCCAAAATCTTGACAGACTCCCCCGAACCAACCTTCTAAGCAATACCCTTTGAAAACACCGAGCCTCCTTCCAACAAACCCCGGCTACCCCAAGAAGGACGCAAAGCCGTCATAATAGGCCTAGCGGAAAGTAAGGAAGGACACTTAGCTTTGTGAACGTGAGACACTAAGAGTTGGGGATGATGAATCAGCCGCCATGTTTGTTTCGCAAGCAAAGACAAGTTAAACGAGTGAAAATGACTAATGCCAAGACGTCCTAACACTTTAGGAAGATGCACTGTCATTGCAAAAGCTAAAGCCAAACCTTTAGAATCCTTACCAGACTGCCACCAGTATCTTGAAAAAAGGGAATCTATTCGATCGCAAATAGTAGAAGGGGCCTTAAAAACTGAGAGAATATGATTAAAAGAAGCCACCAAAACAGAGTTGATAATGACAAACTTAGCTGTTGACGATAAGTGCAGGGAAGCAAAGGAAGACAGACGCTGAGTTACCCTGTCTACCATAAACTGGAAATCTTTACATTTTCGACGACCTAGATCAACTAGGAGACCCAAATAGTCACCATTGGAAGAGCGAGCCTGCAAGCGAAGAGTGGTAGATAGGTAGTCCCTGTAATCCTCAGGTGCATTAGCACTAAAACGGACATAAGACTTTTGTAAATTTATCATTTAACCCGAGACTGAGCAAAACGCGTTGGTAATTGAAAGGATGTGGTCACACGCCTCAGGCAAAACCTGGAAAAAAACAACGCATCATCAGCAAAGAATAAATGTAAAACCGAAGGAGCACGACGCTAAATACTTAACCCCCTGAAACAACCAAAGCCGCTCATCTCGACGAAGCCTCAAAGAGAAAATCACCATACACAAAACAAACAGATAAGGAGATAGCGGATCACCTTGGCGTAAACCATATTTAGGGTAAAACGTACGGGTAGGAGAACCATTAACAAAAATCTGATAGGAAACCGTTGTCACACATTGCTGAATAATGTGGACCAAATACGGAGGAAAACGAAACCGAGTCAAAACGTCCCACAGAAAATTCCAATTCACCCTATCAAAAGCTTTGTTCATATCAAATTTCAACGCTGCAGAACAATACTTGGAAGAAGACGTGGACATGAAAGACAATCATTCATGAGCCAGTAATCTATTATCTGCCATTAACCGACCTAGAACAAAAGCTGTCTGAGAATTCGAAATGAGATAAGGTAATATTTGTCTCAACCTGTTTGTTATACATTTTGCAATACATTTGTAAAGGACATTGCATAATCTAATCGGTCGAAATTGAGAAAGCGTCTCTGGATTATCTACTTTAGGAAGAAGAACTAAAAAGGTGTTGTTCCATTCTTTTAACAAATACCCATGCGCAAAGAAGTATTGAACAGCCATGGAAAACCTGGGGATCCACCATAGCCTTGTGGGACTTAAAAGAACTAGTTGTAAAGCCATCAGGCTCGGAGATTTATCATTACCAATATGGAACATAACCACTTTAATTTCACTAGCAAAAACCGGATTTAGCAAGAATTTAGAGGCCGAGAGAGAAGGAACATCTAGAGTATCCCAAGAACACTGACCGAGCGTAGGATACTGTCCATGACAATCATGAAAAGTTGAAAAATGTTGTTTTAGGAGATTAGCTATTCCAAGATGGTTTGAGATCCAAGTATCACTATCATCCCTGAGACTTATTATTTTATTCCGTCGACAACGGACTTGGACTGATCTAAAAAGAATCCTAGAAGGTGAATCCCCTAGAGCATCCCACTTAGGGCCTGTTCGGCAGTAGCTTTTGAGGTAGCTTTTGAAGTAGCTGTTAGCTTTTGGACTTAATTCAAACACTACCTATAAAAATTACTACTGTTTGGTGAAGTAGTGATTTAAGTAGCTGTTAGAGGCGGATGTAGCTTTTAGGTAGCTTTTAATAAAATCTAGAAAAGATAGCGTTGAAAAAAAAAAACTAGCGTTCAACCTATTTTTTTAGGTTTTATTATCTTATCTTATTATTATTTTTTTTTTTAAAAAAACAAAAATTTTATCTTTTTTTTTTTTGTCTATAATGCTTTGGAATCATCCTCGTCTTACTTGCCACTGATCTTGTTTCTTCCTTGTCTTAATTAACATCATACCTACAGTCCATGATATTTTAAAAATATTTAAATAAGATATATCATACTACTGCTACCACTAATAATAATAATAATAATAATAATAATAATAATAGTAATACTAATACTAATAATAATAATAATAATAATAATAATAATAATAATAATAATAATAATAATAATAATAATAATATTTCGGGGTTGGGTTAGACGATGAACGCAAAGACTTATCGTTGTGTAATGTGCTATCGGTTGGGTGTTTCATTGTTCTTTATCACGACGTCGTGCTCTGCTTGTTCAAGGGTTTTTGCTGAGGATATTTTCGGTGATCACGCTATGTCTTGTGCTGGTATTGTGGGCATTAAACATCGCATAATGTTGTTCGGGATACCCTTGTTGATGTTTGCTATCGGTCAGGGATTTCAGCTAGAAAGGAGGTGGGCATTGGGTTATCTGGAGGGAACGTTGGGGCTCTTAGACCTGCAGATGTGTTACTTTATTCATGGGATCGTGGTCGCGATGTCTGTGTTGACTTGACATGGTCTTCTCCATTGACACAGTCTTGGCTTTCTGACTTTGTTCTGGACAGGTAGTGACTGAAGCGGCCAATCGGAAGCGAATCAAGTACGAATCCAGTTGTCATGGTTTCCTTCCTTTCTCTTTCTCTTCTCTTGGGGAGTTAGAAAAAGATGTTGTTGCATTGCTGAAGCGGATCCAGAAGTTCTCGAAAACTCAAGACATTGGGGCGCGTGCTGCAGCTCATATCTTTACTAAGGTAGGTTTTGCTATAGCTAGAGGAGTGGGGGCCCAGATTGTATCTCGGCTTGCCACTAATTTATTGTAGGTTGTATGCCTTTTGTTTTTGAGAAATAATAATAATAATAATAATAATAATAATAATAATAATAATAATAATAATAATAATAATAATAATTTCAACAGCTAGTTTTGCCAAACATTCATATTATGAACAACTATTTTGACAGCTGACAGTTGACAGCTACCTATTGATAGCTGACAACTACCTCTACAGCTAACAGCTGCTCAAAAGCTAACAGTCCGGCAGTGAGCAGCTATAGCTACTTTTGTCGAACAGACCCTTACTCTTAGCTATTTCCAAAACAAGAAGGAAACCTGCGCAGTCGAAATCTTGTCCCGACGAAGAGTGATAAGAGAACTACGATCATTCTCATCCAGTAAATTATAAGAATTAGAACCCACTAAAGCCTGTAACTCATGCCAGTCAATACCCATTGTCTCTTATGTGTAACACACCAGGAAAGAAGGTTGCGCTTCAAATCTTTGCTAGTTTAAGATAAAGAGGGAGCATAGTATTAGTAAAGTTTTTTTTTTTTTTTTTTTTTTTTTATTTTTTTTTTTTTTTTTGGGTGCACAATATAAAAAAGGTTATTATTGTGAATGACCTAATCGTTTAGTTAATTATGTCATTATTCTAGCATTACAATTTTTTTCCTTTTGATTCTCACTCACAAGCTAAAGTAACGTGGGATTTTCATTTTTGATGTTTTTTTTTTTTAAAAAAATTTTTAACTGTATTTTTTTTTTATAATGAGTTGCTAGTTTAAGATAAAGAGGGAGCATAGTATTAGAAAAGTTTTTTGAATTTATTTTATTTTTTGGTGCACAATATTAGTAAGGTTATTATTGTGAGTGACTTAGGATTACTACGAAGATGACACTTATTATTCTCCTTACTTTAATAATGCAAGTCGAGTTAGCAACTAATCAGATAACTTCCTTAATTAAGGTGAGATAAACCAGCTCTATTTGAAGTCCATTTGCTTATGTGGAATGATGTAATTTCTTAACTTTCCATCATCGCATGGAAAGTTGACACATGTTATACATGTGTCATGATCAACTTATTGTCACGACCTACAAGTAAATCGATTTAGCTCGTGTCACGAGTAACCACCAAAGTGGTCCGCATATCTCCACATACTAAGCTACTTCCGCTGGTCCGCCATGTAATTGGAACTTGTGGGCAATGTACATTACTTGTACAGCAACAATGTACATATATACATGCATAAACTGTGCCATTCTTCATTCTCTTTTGTACTTAATTGTACCTCAGCTCCCAAAAAGCCAATATCAATTATCATCACATTATAATTGAATATGAAGACATATAAACATACAAGTATTTAAATTGTAACGCACCAAAAGTTGCGGAAAATATAATTATAAATAATTAAATAAAGCATAAAGTTGTACATGAGTATATCTTACACGCACGTAACACGTTAAAATAACATGTTACGTTTCATTTATAACTATAGCTATGAGCCGTCAAAATATCCACGTGACAAACACATGAATCATCATCACTAAATGTTTTTCATTTTATAAATGTGAATCTTAGTCACATCTTAGCTACAACCATATCCGCATGTCTTTTTTTTTTTTTTTTTTTTTTTTTTTTTTTTTTTTTCTTTTTTTCTTATTCTCCCTTGAGAAATTATTACATGACAATATTTATATTTATTAGAACTATAGTTTATATAATATATAATTATATATGATATATATTTAGTACGGCATTTTCCCGTACTTCATATTATTGTTGAACCCTAAAGTGAGGTCCAATTGCACCTCACTATCAGCACCCATTTGACCAGACACCGACCCTTCAGTTGACTCACCAGAAAACATACTGAGCCGCTCGAAACTCTGAACATCCCCACCAGCATCATTTCCATTACCACCATTAATCGAAAGCTGGTCAGCCTGAAAAGCGGGGGCAGCACGAGACCCTCTGGGGCGACGCTTGAGGCGGGGCCCAGTAGGGACAACGAAAGTAGCAGGTACGGTAGTAGAGTCCTTAGAGGACGACATGTGGCGAATGTCGTAGAGCTTGAGAGGGGGAAGATGAATGACTTGCTGAGGTGGAAGAGGAGGACCATCGGATGAAATAGTAAGAGACGGAGGAGAAAGTTGCATGATAGGCAGACCCTTGAGAACAGCATCAACGGCAAGCTGACAGTGGCGCCACTGACCAGAGTATAATAAACCAACTGAGCCATATATTGGGTCTACCACCCTCCCACATGCCTCGTATAACAATGACTGGAATATTGCTGCCAATTTCAACCAACAAATATTTATTAGTAAGTGTACGTACCTAGATGGTACTGTACGTTTTATTTGTTCAATCTTTTTTATTTTATTATCGATATTTACAACTCCATATCAATCTGAATGAATTACGTTATAAAATCCCCTTCACGAGGAGGGCTTCAGCCTATGAACAATAGTAACAAGATGCCTCACCATTTATTATGACTGTAACAAAGATCAAGGAAATGAATAATCGTCTTAAGTAATCTCTACTTTTAGTTATTCCAATCCCCTAATCAATTAATCATCCTCATAATATCCCCTCTTTATATATATATATTAGAGACAGAAATGATTTAATTTTTATATATACCATGCAAAATGATTTTAAGAGAAAACTAGCTAGAAATAGTTTTATAAGGTGGAATTGTGGGAAAAAAAATAGCCTAAACATTAAACTTAACCTTAATCACCCAAGACACGACATCGTGACAATGCAGACTTTCATAGGCTCATAGCTTTTGTTTCTTTACTAATAAAATGAAGCTATTTATAAATTATTATTAGCAACTAGTAGATACTTCGTACTAGATACGGAGTAGCAACTTACAAAAAATACGGTAAAAAAGTTGCTTAAAAAAACAATGTATATATCTAAAAAATAAATAAATAATTACTCCGTAAATAAAATATAGAATTACCCATTTACCAGCCAAACAAATTAGTTGGTAAAATACTCCGTTCGTAGCATTGAAGTGCATGACTCAATTAATTCCAACCCTCCTATAATAAGAATTTTAACAATATATCTATTTTTTCAAAAAAAAAAAAAAAAATAAAATTACTCCGTATTATTATTATTTTAAACCGCTCTTAAAACTGTATATGAGGAGCTAAAAGTGAAAACAATATGTAAAATAAAACATTAATAACTTACATTAGTAGATTCGTGAATTTACCACTGTTTTTCAAATGGCTAAATTAAATTAATTCAATAAATATATTAAATCTTATTTGCAGCCCTCACCCTTTTTATGGATGGAAAAGTTCATAATATATATATATATATATATATATATATATATATATATATATATATATATATATATATATATATATATATTTCGTTGTTGACAATGAATTAATGAATTATCACTAATATCTTTAATGATCAATACATAAAAATTATATTTATTTGATATCATAAAATTATTAATCAAAACAAATCCATAAAATTTCACATGACCATATATTTTTTAATTATAAATACAGATTACCTATAATTACGTATTAGTAAAAATTATGAAAATTAGATATTAAGAAACTACATATAAGGATCAGATTAAACGAGATCTCATATGATAAAGCTTTTTCTTACTTGTATATTGGTCAAAGTTATAAAAATTTGACGCCAATTAAAAAGGAAATGAGGCAAACAATAACGCCAAATGGAGTAAATTGTTTCGACTTTATGTTATTAGAAATTACTGTGGAAATTTACAAGTGCTTCCTCAAAATGTTGGAATTATTTTCCAACTCCTAAAACTATTGGATTGCACAGAAATTGATGAGTAAACTTGATAGAGAATTGGCTTAAATTTTGCAATTTGGAAATAGAAAAAGCATTTATAGTAACATAGAGAATATAGATCCATTTTTGGTAAAATTACCTTATTAAGATTAGATTTCCAGGAGATTCTGTCCTAGTACCTATCAAAGTCTGACACTAATATATAAAGATAAAATAGAACTATATCTATCTAAGTGTAATTGTCACACTCAACTTATCACATAATTAAGGACTAATTACAATCACATTAAATTCTTCAATCACAACAAAGATAAATAAATAAACTTTTAATTAAAGTTGTACCAGAAGAATAAAATACTAATTATTTTCCTTGGGTTACAAATGTGTCATGGACCATCATTTTTTTTGGGGTTTTTGTCCAAAATGTTACCACAGTTAAAAACAGAAGTTTAACTAATAACTTTACAATTAAAGTATAAGAAAAAATTTCCCTTGAATAATGGACACGATAATGTTATTTTTAAAATAATAATTTTATCGATCATTTCTTAAGAGAAGGATCTCATACACTTTTCTATATGTAATTTTTAGTGACACTTCAATAAAGAAAGATGCGCTTAATTTTTTGAACAGATTAAAGAGCATTTTTTTTTATTAAGGTTGTACATAAAACAAAGTCCATTTTCATATACCAAAACAAAAATTGCTCTATTAGTATATCACTATAATAAACTTTATTCCCAAACCCTTCAAACACTTCTGGGAACGAATTATATACATCCGGATGTATGTATAAAAAATTTATAAAAAAACCATCTTTTTATTCTAAAACCCCTAACATCTTACTTTTTTTTTATTTCCGCCCCTAAATGTCCTAGGAGACGGAACACAAAGATCGAAAAATAAAAGGTTATAACCGATATGAACTCGACAACTCTGATCATACATGCAAGTAACAAAAACAAAAGAAAAGGATTGAAAATTTTACCGGGGCGAAGGTGCTCGGCGCCAGCATTGAGGAGGTTGAGAAGACCGGCACGGCCGTAAAACTTAGCAAGGAAAAGAGTAGCATTGGATTGGGCTTCATTAGACATCATCCAATTAAGGCAAGGGCGAATGACGCAATCGTCGTTACAACCTTTGCGGAGAATTCTACAGCCATTGCAGCTAGTTCTCATGATTATTGTTGGTTGTTAACACAATTAGAGAGAAAGAAGCAAGAAAAGAGAGATTGTAAACAACAACAACAATGAATTGAAATGAAGCAAAAGATGAAAGAGAGAATGTAGTATTTATAAGCAAGGAAAAATAAAATGTGAAGTGAGAGTTGCGTGGTTTTAGTTTAAGGCTCATAGCCCACAGGAAGAATAATGTGCTTTTGTGGAAGAAAACCTGGATTAAAAAGTCTTGAAGCTTTACTAGTTTTTGGTTGTTTGCTAAATAAATTTCTTTTCTCATTGTGTTTATTTGGAAAGTTTTAAGGATTGTCTACCTTCCAACTTCCAAGTGTACAAGCCTCAATGTTGGGGGGATTGTCTTTCTATTTAATTGCCCTTCATTTTTTAATATTTTTACATGGTACGTACAACTTTGTGTACTGTACTATATTGCGTCGTCTTCTTGTGCAACCTTACCAAAATAGTCGGTTTATTATTATTATTATTATTATTTTTTATATGAGGGAGACATACCTCGACTATGGATTTTAACAACGAACGTATTTTAGTTGGTTAAAGTTTTGTGCTAATTTGAACTTTGTGATAAAACCTTGTCTAGTCATATTCCTATAACTCGATAAGGTTGGTCATTTTACATGTACAAAAATATAAAATAATAACTCTTATAATTTAAATTTTTGAATATTAAAGAAATATTAATTGTTTAATTGTGTGTTAGAATGCGTGATAAAGAGAAATGTGTCAATTAAAAAAAACGGAGCTAGTATAACATTGGTATAGTAAAAACGTAAATATTGTCTCCTTTACAGGTTATTTGCAACGATTAGACATTTTCCTCTCAACTTTATGTCAAATCGTTGCAAATAATATGTAACGGAAGAAGTAATTAATTAATAAATAAATTTGGTATTAGTTGGACTTCTGTAAGATCAATATGAAAGGATTAATTGAGCGTTATCATCTATTTTTCACTTCATACCAAAAGAGTTAATTACACAACTATTTTCAAATTGGAATGCAATATTAATTAAGATATCTACCCCGAAATCACATAAGATTTGAATCATAATTATAATGGCGAATACGACAATAAAATTAATTGTTTTCTTCGATACCAGCTTGTATTGTATTACTGTATACTGTAAACAGGTATTACACGTGTCATATTGTGATGTGCTTATCTTGTGTCATGCCTAGGATCCAGTCTGGCAATCTTATTTGATCTTTACTACTAGTTGTATTGTTCACAACATCTTTACTGAAAAGCATGATACAACATGATTTAAGTGCAGTGATTTGTTACATTTATGTCACACATAAAGTATCAATTAGGTAATATTTTGAGTTGTTTTACTTTATTTCTGGCGTCTTTCAATTCTTAACTATCTTTTAAAAAAATATACACACCAATAAGCCTATTGTGGGACCCAAAATTGAGCCGCGTATGAATGTCCTTTCTAGCCTGTATGCATAGGGTTAAGTATCGGCGTATAGCTGCTATTTACATGCCAAGTAAATAACAGCTATACGACAAAATAGTGGTGAATTTTTTTTTCTAGTGGTACAATATTTGTACCATTGTTACCTAAAATAGCTATAAATAATACTACTAAAATAGCTTATACTCTAGTAGTATATTAAAAATTCCGGTGTAAGTATAACAGTACATTAAAGATACCACTGTAGCAATAAGAAAATCTGAAAAACTAAGCGAATTTACCAAGTAACCCTCCTATATGCATCCTAAATATATAGCAGCTATGCGTCTAGTTGCACTCTATGCATAGCAGGTTAAGTCTCAGCGCATAGCGCCTATTGATTTCAATGCATATAGGATGACAATTTTGCAATTAAAAAGTATTATTCAGATAACTTATACTTTGGTGGTACATTATACATACATAATGGTACATAATGATACATTATAATGTACCACTAGAGAGGTCAACTTTTCCAGAAGTTGAAACTTATAAGAAGGTAAAAAGTACCACTACGCTCGTAATAGTCCCCAAAAAGTACTATTCAGACAACTTATACTTTAGTGGTACATTATACATGCATAATAGTACATAATGATACATTATAATGTACTACCAGATAATCAACTTTTTCTAGAAGCAAAAATTGAATCAGCGGAAATTACTTCCTTACCCTCCTATTTACATAGCTCGCCCATAGGCGCTATTCGCCTAGACTCACTTTGCATAGCACACTTGCCATAATTTTGATCTTAATCTCACCACTCTTTGGGCGTATAAGTCATTGCAAATTTGAACTGTGCCTTTGAGTCGTACTAAAAATTTTATATTTCAAAAGAGTCATCGTGAAGTTTACACTTCTAGAAGAAGTAGGACATCTTAGACCAATAAGTCTATGTAATACTATATACAAATGTTCATCTAAATGTATGGTAAATAGAATAAAGCTAGTTCTTCCAAAGCTTATTTCAGGCTACCAACATGCTTTCATTCCGGGGCGACATACGTCTGATAATATCCTTCAATTCTTAGCCATAAGCTTCTCCATATGATAAATAATAGAAGGAAGGGGGCAGATTTGGCAGTGGTAAAAATGGACATGAGCAAAGCGTATGATCGAGTAAGATGGGATTTTCTGTTAAATATTCTCAGAAGATATGCCTTCCCGGACCATTGGGTTTCTTTGTGTAAACAATGCTTTTCAACAGTATCTTACAAAGTTTTAATAAATGGGAGTGTCTCGTCGAATTTCATTCCCAGCCGTGGTTTGCGGCAAGGTGACCCCTATCTCCGTACTTATTTTTGTTTTGTATGGACATTTTTTCAAGAATGCTACAACTAGCAAAAGACATCAAGTTCCTTAAAGGAATTAAGCTTTCAAGACAATCCCCGAGGATTAATCACCTTTTTTTTGCGGATGATGTCCTTCTCTTTTATCATCCATCGGAAGAGGCATGTACATCTATATCGACTATTATTGGTCAATTTTGTAAGATTTCAGAGGAGCAGTTGAATTTGAACAAAGCCTTTATCAAATTCAGTCCGAGCACTACTCCGGAAAAGCAAGATAGTTATAAAAATATTTTGCGAATGAGCAAAACGACAAACATGGTGTCTCACCTTGGAGCTCTAGTTGACTTTCTTTCAAATAGAAGCTCAAATTTTTACCTTTCTAGTGGATAAAATTGCGAGGAAAATTTTGTCCTGGAATGCTCTTAACATTTCATTTTCCGCGAAAATAATTCTGGTAAATACAGTGCTTGTCTCAATGGCAGTACATGTTATGAATCGCTTCAAGCTTCCGTGTGCTATTGCTAGCAAGATTGAGAGTTTGGTGATGAGGTTTCTATGGGGTAATAAGGGAAGTAGGGGTATCCATTGGGTAAAAAAAAGAGATTATTCAATTGCCTACAGGAATGGGGGGTTTAGGGATCCGAAATATAGAAGCCCTTAATGATACCTTGCTAATGAAGCAAGCATGGCGTATGGATAATAATCCGCAATTATTGGTCTCTAAAATCTATTCCATGAAATGCCCTTCTATGCTGTTAAAGGGGAAGGTTCATTCTTTGAAGAACAAAAGGATTTCATGGGGAATGAGGGGTATAAGGAGTAGTGAATTGAAGTTTAAAGATGCTCATGGTTGGAAGGTTGGAAATGAGGAAAACATATGTGCTTTTCGTGATATTTGGGTAAATGGGAGAATTCCAGAGCCAAAGTCAAATGTAACTCTTCGACAAGTCTTAAGATGTAAGGTAAGTAATTTTATCAATAGGGAAATTAATTCGTGGGATGCAAGGAAACTACGAGTTTCTTTCCCTTTAGCAGAGGCAAGAAAGATAGGGGCTATGGAATTGCCAGAGACAGATAGGGAGGATGTGTTTTGCTGGAATTTTACCAAGACTGGCGACTTTAGTACGAAATCGGGATATGCTTTTTTACTTGGTAAACAAGTCCAGAATGATAGAATTACACTCGATGAGATAAAGTTTCTAAAGTTCATGTGGAAACAAAAAATACTGCTGAAATGGAAAATTTTTATCTGGAAGGTCTTTTATAATGGTTTGTCGGTTAAGAGTAATTTGCATTATAGAAATCTAAGTGACTCAAGCTTGTGTGAGTGTTGTAATATTGAAGAAGAAAATATCAATCATCTTTTAAGACAGTGTAGTACTCCAAGGAGGGTATGGTTTGGTGGATATATTAGATCCGAGGAAAATATGGAGAGTACTATTCAATCTTGGTTAATATGTTATACCCGACTCTTTTATAGTCAGGATGGTCCCGATAGTGAGAGGGTTCTAATCTTTGTTGCCACCCTATAGGAGATATGGCTAGCAAGGAATGATTTCATTTTTAGAGGAACCAATGTGCCTGTAGAGGAGATCTTAGAAAAGATTGGCAAGCGTATGGAAGAACATCAAACTTTTGTCAACCGAGAAATAAATGGTTTTGATGATTCGTATCCCACGGACTTAGATCCAATACGACTACCAGGTTTCAATTTGACAAGTTTAGGTAAGTTTGATCAAGGCTTTTCTAATCTATCGATACAAATTGATGGTGCCTGGAATAAACAAACAAAGAGAATGGGTATAGGTTGGGCACTAGTGGAGGGTGGAGTCTTGACAGAGAAATATGGCTGCAGTTTTGGAATGGCAAGCTCTGCTCTTCATGCTGAAGCAATGGCATGCCTTCATGCAATGAAATGGTGTCTCCAGGAAGGGTTAAGTAGTATGGTCTTTATCACAGATGCTGCAAATTTGGTTGATCTATTGCAGAAGGGGAGGGCTAGAGATAAAACAGTTGAATGGACTATATCTGAAATCAAGGAAAAGGGGAAGAGCTTTAACTGGTGCATTATCCGCAAGGAAAACAGGGCTAAAGTAGAAGTGGCACATAGAATAGCCAAGGATGCATCAACTTTTTTATTTTCGTCTTTTACAAGTTCTTCAATTATGTATTAATCTGCTTTATCCAATGTCAAAAAAATAAAAATAAAAAAAATAAAAATAAAGAAGTTTACACTTGAATGAATCAGAAATCCGTTTAATGATCCAACATGATTATTCAAGCTATATAGTGAACTCGAAGATATTTATCTATTTCAACCCAAAAGTGACATATT